AGTGGTTAAAAGGATTGAACACTTATGGAATCTGCTCAAGATGTCATCAAACTGCAAGGAAAGGTAATGAAAAGAGATAAAGCACATTGAAGGAAATAATGAGAGAAAAATAAAGCCATTTCCTGTTTATACTCTATAAAGCACAGCCCAAGTAATAAATTAATTTTATACATTTGTATTTATAAAAGTATATAGTCTGTAGCTTTTTGAGGAATAGAGCGTATTTGTTCATTTTAATATCCTCAGCCTCTGTCACCCACTTGCAATGAGATGAAGATGAAGAGCTGTCTCTAAGGCCAGAAATGTCACTACTTGGAGCATACACAAGTCTCAGCCATCAGACACAGCAACCCAGGGCCCACACTTTGCTCTCTTTTTTCACAAGCATCACTTCCAATCAACACCGTGAACCCAGGTGGAATCCTAAGAGGGCCCAGAGTCATTACAGAGACTCCTTTCATCCTTCCAACTCTACTTGTCTTCCAAAGGTCCACAGAGAGGGAGTGATAAATCCTATGGGCAAGGACATACACTCATATGTCACTCACCTCCTTTGTCTGAAGGTTTCTACCTGCTAGCTGTGTCCAAATGACAAATGCATTCAATATGAAAATGGAACCTCCCAAGTCATCTTTTATAAAAATGACTTCTCTGCACACCCACACTTATGTGAGGTCCCAGCAGTAAATGAAATTCCTTAGGGAGAACACGAAGGTAAAGGGGATGGCTTTGGAGCATTTTCCTGGGTAAATTGCTTAAAGGAATTGGTCTAGTTATCTATTACTATATAACAAACTACCCCAAACTGTAGTGGTTTAAAATTTAATTTTGATTTTACTCACACTTGTTTGGGTTAGGAATTTAGAAAAGGTTCAACTGGGTGGTTGAAGGGGCTGGGACAGCTGAAGCAGGAGGATGCACATCTAATATGGTATCTTCAATTACTTCCCTGAAGCCTGGGCTGGGATGCCTGACTGTTGAGTCTTTCTGACGGCTAGGAGCTCAGCTGTGGCTGTCGGGTGGAGAGCTGACACTTGGTCGGGCAAGATGCTATAAGACTTCATACGACTAATCTCAGAAATGCTAGAATTTTATTCTGCTACATTCTGTTGGTCAAGCAAATCACCAAGAAAGCAGAATTAGACTCCGCTCTCAATGACAAGAATAGCAAAGAATCTGTTACCAGTTTAATCTACCACAGGTTTGTTGAGATGCATTCTATGTGAAGGGCTGGCAACTCCCTCTTTAGCTGCTGCTTTTTTCACCTGGTCTTTACATAAACACTGTATAGAATAGATATGGTAGTAAGATTAAAAGCTATGCCTTTCTTATGCCCAGAGTTAACCAATTGTTATCACCTTGAACAAGTCATTTAATATGTGTGTGTGTGTGTGTGTGTGTGTGTGTGTGTGTGTTAGAAAATGTAGATTGTTCCTAGGTTTCAGAAAGTTAGAATTCCCAAATGCAGAGTATGTAAACCAAACATAGCCTACGTGTTTGTTCGGTGTGAGCTTTGCTTTGATATACATATACATGTATATTTGTGTGCATACACAAATACATACATATGTTAAAGAACATATCTACTTAATTGACATATTTAAAACTGAGTGATGCTATATAAAATTCTGAAGATCTGGCAACAGTAGACATGCATTCTAACATGGCAAGAAGTGCCTGGAATTGAGGGTCTGGTGCCTTCTTTGGATGGCACACACACTCTCTGGTTTGCTCACATCAGTCACATATGTCTCAGGAAAGGGACAGATTAGCATCAGAGTTTGCTTCTCTATCACATAGTATAATGGTTAAGAGTACACAGATGCCGGCTTTCATGGCATATCTTCAAATCCTGGCTCTGCCACTTACAAGCTATGCTGAAGACAATGTTGAAAATGAAACCTGCAGCAGCAGACCACCCACATCAATTTTCAAGGAAAAGGTTAATCTTGTCCCTGCCCCAACTGACTGACATTTGACAGCAGAAACAATAGCCAACACCATAGACTCCTCAATTGATTCTGCTTATACCATTGTAACTGAAAAATTAAAGGTGAGAAATCTTCCAGTCAATGAGTGCCAAAATCATTGCACCAAGATCAGCTGCAGACAACAGTAGAACTTTCTACAGAAATTTTAAATAATTGGGATCAAGATCCTAAAGCATTTCTTTGAAGAGTTATAACAGAAGATGAAACATGTCATTACCAACACAATCCTGAAGACAAAGGACAATCAAAGCAATGGCTACTAAAAGATAGAAGAGGTCTAGTCAAAATAAAAGTGGATTGATCAAGGGCAAAGATCATAGCAACAATTTTTTTTTTTTGGAATATTCAAGGCATTTTGCTTGTTGACTTTCTGGAGAGCCAAACAATAACATCCACTTATTATGAGAGTGTTTTGAAAAAGTTAGCCACAACTTTAATAGAAAAAAACCCAGGAAAGATTTCCCAGCGAGTCCTTCTCCACCAGGACAATGCTCCTGCTCATTCTTCTCATCTAACAAGGGCAATTTGAGGAGAGTTTTGATGGGATATTGTTAGGTATCCACCTTACTGCCCTGATTTGGCTCCTTCTGACTTCTGTTTGTTTCCTAACTTAAAAAAATCTATAGAAGGCACCCATTTATCTTCAGTTAATAATGTGAAAAAGACTGCATTGGCCTGGTTAAATTCCTAGGACTCTCAGTTCTTTAGGGATGAACTAAATGACTAGTATTGCTTACAAACGCATCTTCACCTTGATGGAACTTATTTTGAGAAATAAAGTTTATCTTTTAATTTCATTTTTCCACAAACTATTTCAAGTTCCCACATGTTTATTTTTATTTTTCTGAGATCTGGCAGAACACACATAGGTTTATTACATGTAGTAGAGAACATTTCTGATAGGAAGATTCACCAGTTCTCTTTTGAATACCTTAGAGTAGAAAACTTACTTCTATTTGTGACAATCTTGTAGTAATTCATTCCATGGTTATCAGTTCTAGTTTCAGAAAGTTCTTTCTTAAATTAATACTACACAAAAGGTATGGCATCATCTCTCCATGTAACTGAATCTCCTCATTTCTGTGCAGTTTCATAAAACTTATATTCTGTATTTTTCCTTTAAAATCTATGTACTTCCCGGTTTTATCACTTAACTAATTTTTTTTTAAATTTCACGTGTCAGATCCTGTTCAAGAGGCTAAGAATACAACAATGAATAACACCCACTTCCTGCACAACAGAAGCTTAGAGATCAATGTGCATGTATTATAGGATGCTACATGCACTGTCTTTTATATTATCCTGTAATATACCCATAATTACCCATAATACTGCCTTTTATTTCTCTCATGTGTTATCATTTATTAGGTGCATCTGCTAGCCTTATATTGATTGATCCACAGAAGAACTCTGTGAAATAAACTTTATTATTTAGAAATGAGATTTTAGAGTTTTAGAGATAAGAAAACTGAGGTTTGTGCACTGCTTTCTCACACCAGGCCTCTGACCCATCTCCAGGGCCTAGCATGGGACTGGGTACACTCAAATAAAGGAGTCAATCAATAAACTACATCTGAGCTAAGAAGGGTCTGGAATAGCTCTGGTCAACACATTCCCAATGCTGAGCCGCCAGTTCAGGAAAAAGACAAAGTAGCCTGAAATATGATTTTAAAATACTTAGCATGGACACAAGTGCTTAAAAAGTGAAGAAATCAGCAATTATCCACATGCTTACTCCAAAATATTCAAACCCAAGTTGGTCCTTTTGCATCTATTTGACTGTTTTATGCTATGAGTAGTACAACTCTGGATGAACAAAGCCTATAGCAGAAGTTAGAAGACCTGGCACATGATTGATCAGAAAGATCATTGAATCTATGAGTTCAAGCTTTTGTACCTTTCTATTTAGCTAAGTAGCCCTCATTGGATCTATAAAATCCTTATCAACAATGTCAGGGACATAATGGGAACTCAAGAACAGCTTTCATATAAATTAATAAAACAGGATGCTTAAGAGAGAGTACAAATATAAAATCATATTGTCATTTATATTATACTCCATCAACATGGAATTACAGTAAAATTACACTTTTCCATGACTAAGGCAAAGTATTTGATTATGACTTGGAATCTCCTTTTGAACCCTAAATTTACCCCATTTCCAAAGCAACCACTTATTCTATCTGAAGATTCTTCTTGGTGCAATTTATGTACTGCCATGAGCTAGGAATTATGTTGCAAAAAAAGAAACCAAAGTTACCTAATAAGTAATAGAAAACCTTGACTAAGTCACCCTGAAAATGAGAAAAGGACTGCCCTTGACCCGTTAACAATACCTGGCCACTTCTGAATGAATGTCTGTTTGGCACCTGTACTTTTAGAAACATTTTGCAAGTGCAATTGATACTAGAGGTCCAAGCTCCCCAAAAAACAATTTAGGATGTTCCCTGGGCTAACGTGCACACTCAAAAACTCAAATTCTTGGAAACTAGAAATACGACCACTGAGCTTTCTCCCAGCCTGTCCCATGTTGATCAAACCTAAGAAACCCTCATTGTTTCCACATGACTCGACATAGTGGGGATCAACAGTCTAAGATTTTCCTCAATAAGCTTGCTAGGTAAGTCATCAACTGAATTCACCTTTTAATGAAACTGCACATAAAAAGTGTGCGAACAACAAATAAGGTGAGCACTAAATCCTGAATCCCTAAAGTATAAATCAGAAAAATAATAAGACCTGGAATAGTTAGCTTCGATGGGATATAGCACTAGAGGGCACTGCTAAGATGAGGAAGTTTTCAAAGATATATCTTCATAACTGGGAAGGCAGGATACCAGAGATAGACCTTTTGAAATTCACTCTTCCATCTCTGGAAAGCCACAAGTACAAACAATCCTGGGGACTCTTCAGCGTTCTTTCTCCACAGCCTTCTTTCAGAAATATCAACTGGAAAGACACTGCACTGATAAATCCAGCACCTTAAATTTCAGCGATTCTTTTACTTACTAGCTGTGTGAGCCTGATTCACGCTTTTCATCCCCGTGATCCTCAGCAGCTGTATCTGTAAAATAAAGAGGGTGGTTCTGATGGTCTCTCAGGACCTTTTGAGCTCTAAGGTCCTTTGAATCAATAATTCTCCTCCCCCAGGATGTCCAAGAGTTTAATGATTCACCAACTTGGTGACAACTTCTTAGAAACTGCTAGGTGGAGGGAAGAATGAAGGCAGCAGGGGACTTGGTTCAGAAATACTCTCTCAATGTTTTAGAGCTTGGTAGGGGGCTGTGATTGTTAATATTAGAGTCTATGAATAGGGTTTGGTGACATACACATACCTCTAGGGTGAAGATTGTGCCTGTCCATCTGGCACTCAGTTAAAGGTAAATAAGACAATCTACGATCAGTGAGAAACTGGAAAGAAGAAAGGATTGGAGGGGGTAAAAGGTTGTAAGAAGTCATGAAGATGTATAGTATTCAAAAAACCAAATAATTCATCTTTATCATATATTTATTTAGCCCCTTTATGTGCAAATAATTAAAAATGCGGAAAAAATCTTTCTATTAGAATTGTGCTTTATCATTTTAAAGGCAGTTTTATTTTATAGTTTCAGTTCATTGTTTTAACAATTGTTTTTAATTTAACAATTAAATTTTTTCATTTAATTGTTTTGATGGGGCACACATGGCACAGTAGCATTTTTCCTGCTTAAAGGAAGAGGAGAGCAAAGCTCAGAGAGGTTAAGTGATGTTAATAAATATTGAAGAGCTAATTAACAAGTCAGGATTAACCTTCAGGTTTTCTTATTCCTATTTCTTGTGTTCCTCCCATTAAATCACAAGTATGACCATCTGCTCCCACTACAAGTTCCTGTATTTGTCCTAACAAGCTGGGGGTCTTGGGCCCCACCTTATTGAGGCACCCTTTCCTTCATCTGGCTACTTGAGAATGAAGACTGAAGATAAAAGTCATACAGGAGTTTAGGCTTTGCCCAATAGGAGATGGAAACGTGCATTTTTCTCCCCAAGCGTTAATGCACCTTTGAATGCATCACAGAAGGACCATAGATGAAGAGGCTGAAGCTGGGCGCCTGGATTTGACACTAGCTTTATATCAGTTTCTTCAGGCCTAATACCTGTCAAATATGTGATGACACTTGCCCAATCCAATGTAGAGCTTTTTTTCTAGTATCAAATCAGGTGGAGTATGTAGAAGCCCCTTGAAAACAAGGTGTGAACCCATAAATGTGTGGTGTGTTTATTATGGTTGTTCAATGTGTGGCTGAAAGAATAGATGGTAGCCAATACTGGCTTGACTTCAGGCTCGGGGATCAAGCAAGTCCAGAGGAGAGGGATTTGGATCCATTTCCTAAACAAAGAAGCAAAGTCCAGAAGCAGCTCAATGCTTAGAAAATAAGGAACAGTTGGTCTCACAGCTTGGCCAGGCAGGAGGGTTGGCACGGATCCTCAGATCATCGTGCTCTGCCTAGTGAATTGAGTGGGCCTCACCAGGGGCTGGATGTTAGCCTCCTTCTGGCTCGAGAGAAGCAGTGGGGGGTTGTGACCACCTGTTCTCTCAGAATGTCATTGTACCTCTTGCACATTTTCCTACACAGGCAGACAAAGTCCAAGCCAGGTCCTTGGAAAAAACAAAAAAAAAAAAAAACTCCGCCCTCAATCCTCCCCAATTTTTTCTTCAATATTCCCATTTCCTCAACTCATAGTGACTTTCCAGAGATGTCCAGTGGCCCTTGATGGGCCACAAGCCTGACTCTAGTGACCTCCCAGACTAGCCTATGGAGATATCACCATGTGCCACAGATATCTCTGTTCCTCACCCACAAATTCACTGACTTGGTACTACCCCCTTTTCATCCTCCTCTCAGCAAGTTGCCAGCTGGAAGTCTGAGCTGATAAGTAGCTTGCACTGAAGAGCTTATAAATGACAATCAAACTGAAAAGTAACTCCTCTCATGAATTCTAGTACATTAACAATAGGCTTTTAAATAACTTTACCAAAAGAAAAAAAAGAATGAATGAATGCCAAATGGATCACCTCCAAAACAATCAATGGGATCATAGGGTTGCTATTTTGAGGCTAAGTCTTAAGTAGAATTAAGAAGAATTCTCCACTAAAAGCCTCCCATTTCTTGATTCTGATAGTTTCCTTTAAAAATTAGAATCTTTAAACAGCAATCAAAAAATACAACTTATGTATGTATATACGTATATATTATATATATTTCTTTATCATATAATATATATTTATTTTTAAGATTATATATAGTAGCTTTTATCAATTCCAAATAGTGAGTAGAAGGCTATATTTTTTAATTAAAAAATAAGTAAAATGTTCTGTGAAAACATCAAAAGGACAGCATAATATTAATAAAACAAGTGGCTCTATGGCTGATAGGCTGTAGAGAGCTCAGAGCGACATATGTAGTAACTCTGGACGTGAAGCTAGATTAATTCTGCTTCATAAACTCTTCAACAAACCAAGACCTGATGTCTTGTCTTGACCCTTAGTGGCCTCACAGACTCTTAAGTGTGTCAGTCATCTCCAAGAAATCATCTGAAGGCTTGAAACCTGCCTAGTTGCTCGATACCTTGGTACTTGCTCTGTATCCTCTCTACAAAATGATCCATGCTGGACAGAGACTCAAAGATGCAGCCTATAGTGGACATGTATTTTCTTTTAAACACCTAACATCCCTTCTTTAGATAAACTGTCTCATCCCCAAGCCATATGGTTTTAGTCAGCATCAGCTCAGGTCCTCTATGAAGCAAACATCAAGCCAGCAATGGAAAACAAGGTATTTATTGGAGAAAATACCTCTGAAGGTTAAGAGAGAGAGCAGGAATAAGGCAGGGAGAACCTTCATTCAGACTACAACATGAGTTTGACATCTATAAAAGCAGAAAGGGGAAGAGGGATTGGATAGGAAGGACCTTAGACTACAGTGAAGTTATGAGAGGTCTCAGCTAGGCCAATGGGAAAGTCCGTGGACTCATGAGAATTTGCTAAGGAATCCCACATCGGGCTGGAATGACTGGGTTTGAGTATCCCCACCGTGCTTAGTCCTTGGCTGGGAGCAGCCCAAAGAAAACATGGCCTGGTGTGAAAGACACAGTAGGTCCCTAGTGTGGCAGCTAAAGTCTGCCAATCAGCTATGCTCCCTACAGCAGGTTCTCTGAAAGAGAGATCTGAATGGTACACTTCCACCACTGCTGTATAATGGGACTGTCAGTCATACAACCCGATTCACAAACAGAGGGAACTATCCAAGCAAGGCCAATCAAAGCATTTCTCTAGAGTTGATATGCAGACATTAGCAGGAACCAGCTCCTTTTTCCACCGGGGAATCTGAAGGAGGTGAATCCAGGGCTGCCAACTTTCCTTAGCACATGCAGAATCCAAACTACATCAAGGAGAAAATATGATCAAACCACAAAGAAAACAAAGTTCAAACTGGGGAGAAAAGGGAGTCCTGAAGTTAGAAGCTGCTCTAAATATCATTTTTCCCCCTTATTCTAGTTTGCATTGTATTTCTGCCACAACTAAAAAGTTCTCTGCCTAATACCTAATAGTGCTTTCACTGTAATTATCATAGTATATTAGAGCTTGAAAGGCCTTTAGAAGTCATCTAGCCCTTACTGCATATTGCAATAACTTGAGCAACTTGGTTTTGATACCAAATGCTGGACCCCATTCTAATCTAATTAAATCAGAATATCTCTAAGTGGAACACATGAATCAGTTTATTCCTTTAAATTATATAGGTGATTCTGATGTTTATTAAGGGTTCAGAACCAATGGTCTTGTCAAACGTTCATTTTGCAGATATGAAAGCTGAGGTTTAAACATAGAAAGTGATGGGTCCCAAATCCACAGGAGATAGAGCCAGGAGTTAAACTCAAATCCCCTTACTTCTAATCTGGGCCCTTTATTAAAATTACCATGTGACATTTCAGTTGAGAAACAAACATTTCTTTCATCTCTGAGTAAAAATCCTTTGTTCTTTTTTTAAAAAAATGTTTAATTCTTGTGAAAAACCCTCTGTTCTTTAAGAAGCCTAAGTTACTGTCTCTCCTGATACTTAGAGTTATTTATACATTTATCAAAACAGGAAGAAGTTACCAGTCCCAGAAACAAGAACCAAATACAAAGCAGAGATTGCATTCCCCCACCAGCACAAGTAACTATACCACCTTGCTATCTGATGGGAATCCATTCTGCCCCGTTACAGCTGTCAGCTGCTTATCCCTGAGAGGAAGTGGAGAGGGATTCCAGACTGAACCAAGCCATCATGTTGAGCAGCAATAATTAAGAAAAGACGATTGTTGGCTTTCTCTGTAAGTTACTCTGATATATAACAGCCATTGGGTTTCAACACCGATATGAACAACTATCTCCTTTGCTCTTACAAAAAAAATAGTGATTCCTACAACTCAATTTCTTTTATCAAATTGGTGTTCTGAAAAGCCACGCTATTTTTGAGTCTTCTTTCCACAGGCATTTCATTGTCATTAAACACACCATCATTCAAAATACTCGTAGAAAAAAGCGGAATGCAAAATGATCAGTGTGGTACAACCATAACTGAGTAAAATGAATAGAAAAATGATGAGTTAACGATGAGCACGTCTAGGTTGTGGAGTTAGAAGTTTAGGACTACATGACGGGGGCAAGATGAAGGATACTATGAACAGAATGATGACAAATGGTCTGAGGACAGATACCAAGTTCTGAGCCAGTTATTCCAAGGTAAAGGAGAACAGCAATGGTGAGTAGACCCAGGGGGATCTGGAAATGATCAAATCATGGAAAAATTGTTTAAGTCAATAACGCAATGACAGTTATACCAGTAATTTTTTTGAAGGGTGGAGAAGATAGCATTTTAAAATGACCCAGGACCAAGAATCCCTGATTCGATTATTAACCCAAATTATAACTTTAGAAAAGACATTTTACCTGGCTTTGTTCTATGTTTTAATGCTGTTGTTGAATGGATTTCATGACTAACTAAAGGCTTATGATGATTATTGGTTTGAAAAGAAAAATTCTAGGGGATACTCTCTAGGGCTTTTTTCAGTCTTTTAATTCAATGATTCCATCACTCTAAAATTCCTCTCATCTCTCAAGATTTTCCAAGCAAGTGGTCCTCTACTTAATCTTTGTTTGAAGTTGGGCCTTTTGTCATCATGTGGATGGTGAAAGTGACCTTCCAGATCCAGAAGATATTCACTTATGGGGTAATTTTGATCACAGCACACATTACTTCTATTGCATCCTGTCTACTGACTTCCATTAGTTACCACATGTTAAATAGCTTTGAAATGCCCTTGCTTTTTTATTTCAAATTTTCTGCCTTTTTCCTTGTTGTTAGTGAAAGTCTACTTTTCCCTAATAA